AGCAGAACCGAAACTCTGTACCCTTCAATGGCCTCTCCCTGTTTCCCCCACCCCCAGCTCCAGCTGACCACCGTTTCTTGTGCTGTCTTCACAACACAAGGAAAATAAGAAGGACTGAGTTAGTCACGTCTGTGTAGTGTTTGGTTACGTGTTCCCATTTCTTGGAGTTATACAGAGACTTTATGACTAGTTTAGATGCTTTGGCAAATTCAGTATGACTGCCTCTGGTTAGCACACAGTGGTAATTAAGTCTGCAATTATATGTTCAGATTTTCATATTTTTCCTGTATGTGCATTTTGACAGTAATTGAACAAGGCAGTATTTGCAATATCCATTCTGAAACTGTTTCACAATATTTCATTATATGCCAGATTAATTTGTTAAACTCACGTAGCAAATGAAAACTTCACCGCTGATCCAATTAATCCAACCGTGGGACCTTCAACAGGGAAAACCGAAGGAGATGTTGGGCAAGGTGTCTAGAAAGATTAGGGGTATAATTGGATGGAGGAGAGCCCAATGGTAAGCCTTTATTTTTCCTTGCTCTAAGTGACTCCTTTTTCTCATTAAATACCATTTACTTCCTTGAGAATCAGTACAGTGGGAAGATGAATAAACACTGATGAATGAGATAAGCATCCAAGTCTTGAAAAGATCTGGGGAAATTGAATTTCCTCTTTGGGTATGTTTGTGTGTGAATGCAAGTGACTGTGAGTGTGAGAATATGTGTGTGTGTGTGTATGTGTGTACAATCAAGAATGAAGGGCTGTGGCCCAAGGCAGAATAGCATTTTGATTGTCTATGGCTCTGTTATTTTTCACGTATTCCTGTGTGCCTTACAGAGAGTGAGTGAGTTAAAATCCCTTTCACTGAGATAAAGATGAAAGGTATGGAAATATTCGGTGGAATACAAGGTCCCTGTGAGTGGAAGTGCTCTATTTGTGACTGCTTCTAGGGAAAGAAACCTGCCCTTTGCTGGGTGAACAGCCTTCTTTATAAAGCACTGTATGTCTGTCAGCTTCTGTCATGATAGGTTTATTCATTCATTCATTCATTCATTCACTTATTCAGTCCTTTAACAAATAGTTATTGAGTATTTGTAATGAGCGTAGGACCACGGTAAGTGTTGAGAACACTATGGAGACCAAGACCAGATCCAAGCTTTGTCTCACAGAGTTTAAAATCTAGTGGACAGGCATATGTCAACCACATAACATTCCGGCACATAATGAAACTACCTCTAAGATAACTACTATGTAGTGTTGAGTTCATAAACGCCTATAAGAGGAATATTTGCCCTTGCCAGTGAGGTCAGATAATTCCTTGAGGAAGTGATACTTGCCTTAAGATCAAAGAGATGAAACTGAAAGGTGAAAATAAAAAATAAAAAAAAGAAAAAAAAAAAAAAGAAAGAAGAAAAAAAAAATAAGAAAAAGAAAAGGAAAAAAAAAAGACAAAAAAAAAGCACAGGGACAGGAACACAGGGCAGGATGAGGTTGGAGAGACTGGAAGGAGCTGATACACGGCAGCCCCATCAACTAACAGTTACCATTCTGTGTACCTGGAACTCTGGGAAGTGTTTTGCTACATTAACTCACTTAATCCTTATGAATGTATTTGCGATCATAGATTTCATCTTACTGATTTGGAAGCTGAGACAGAGAGAGGTTAAACAACTTGCCCAAGGTCAGTGGTAGAGTCCTGGAAATGTTAGAGGAAGGGTTTGAACAAGGTCTTGCTCTAGAGTAAAAGATCTTTAGCCAACACTATCCTTGAAAGGCCAAAGCATCAACTTTCTGGGTATCTTTGTCTGGATCTGTATAATAAATAAATGTTCAGTGACTGATACCCTAAGTGTTAGTATTGGCATCAATATTAGCATTAGCATTTGTTCTGGTTGCTTTTAAATACAAAGAGGAAAATATAATAGCTAACTTGTATCAAATACTTCCTAATATAACAGAGGCCACGCTACATGTTCCACATGCTTTGTGACGTTTAGTCCTCACAATACCCTCATGAGACTAGGATTATTGTTCTCATTTTGTAGAGGGGAAACCTGAGGCTCGGAGGTTCAGTAACTTGGCCCGCTATTTAGAAGTAGAACTGCTACTCAAATTCCTTGACTGTAACCTTGAATAGTGGGTTGGTCCCAAGTTATTCCAGGAATCTTGGAGTTGGGCTTTTTCTGGGGAATCTAACTTTGTGCGCTTATGCATTTCCTGGTGCACTGAATGTAATTAATGGGAGTTCAAATAGGGCAGGTTTTGACTTTACACTCCAGCAAGGGACAGACTTAAGGGACTACCACTCGAAGAATGGAGCGCTGTTCCCTTCCTTTGTTTTGCTTTTGCATCCGTTGCCCCTTCAAGTTACTAAGAGCTTCCATCCTTCCTCACATCCTCAGTTCGTGTCACTCTTTAGCTTAATTAGGGGAGGAATTGCTTTCATCAAGGGCATCTTTTCCTCCTGAGGTCTCTCTGAGCTCTGGAAATGGCCAAGATATTCAAGCACTCTGGTTGGGGTGCCCAGAGGCCATGTACTGAATCTTGCTCTGGGATCTGAACCCCATGCTAATGAGGAGAGATGCTGCCTCTGCAGAGATGGCGTGAGGGTGGAATCTCTTATGGCTGACCTACGACCCCTTCCTGTGAACGTCGCTTTCAGACTGAGACTTTAGTCTTTAATTCACAGATGGTATGTGAGGGGCTCAGCCCTGCAGGATCATCTACAGACAGAGCTCCATGCTGCAGAGAGGGCTCACTTATCAGAGAGGCTTCTGAGGGGAGCTGACCTGTGGTTTCAGCCTGTTTCTTGGTGGTCCCTTGACCCCTGAAAGACAAAAAGTCCTTTAAAAAGCAGGACAGGATTCCTGTAAAAGACATTACAGAGTGTGAAAGTAATGTGCCAATTTTCTTTCTAGGCATAGACACCAGAGAAGTTCTTGTTATTGGCCATGTGCAGGAAGAAACGCGTACCAGGATATTCATCGCTACATTGCTTTTGTTTTTAGATTTCACATATAAGTGAAATCACATGGCACTTGCCTTTCTTCACCTGGCTTATTTTACTGAGCATAACACCCTCTAGGTCCACCCATGTTGTCACAAATGGCAGGGTTTCTTTCTTTTTATGGCTGAGTAATATTCCATTGTGTGTAGTACCACATCTTCTTTATCCATTCATCTACTGATGGACGCTTAGGTTGCTTCCATATCTTGGCTATTGTTTAATGTGGCAGTAAACATAGTGCATATATCTTTTTGAATCAGAGATTTTGTTCTCTTTGGGTAAATTCATAAAAGTGGAGTTACAAATTACATTGTTTATAACAAAGAAAACTTTAGAAACAATTAATCATGTGCCTAAATATAAGGCAACTCCAAATACACAGTGATTACCTCCCATATTTATAATGAGAAAATTAGGAAAGGGGTTTGGGACCAAATTGAACATAAACTTTTAGGGATATGAAAGAGATAGCCAATGATTTTCTGAAAATGTTAAATATACATATTTGAAGTAACATATTATGTGAAATATTAACTTAGAAGTATCCTTTTTATGCAATTATGTATTTCAGAAAATGACTTGACACATTTCTCATATGTGTCTCTGACATCAGGATTCTCATTGGCAAAGACCCGCCGCACCTGAACTGGTGTCCCAGGGCGTATCATATTCTGTAGTTTCTGAACTGGTCTATGATGTTTTCTCTGGAAATTTTATCCTAAGTACAAGAATCCATATGCTTTGACATTATGAGAGGTGACTTGTTAATTTTTCTTTTAGTTGTATATTTGTTCTCCACCACATAACCAATTACTGTATTGATTTGAAATATTTAAAGGGTTTATGTATAGTGGCACACAACACTTGGAATGATGAAGTCTTAACCCTCATAATCACCTGATTTGTGTTAAATTTCTCTTTTTCATTCTTCTTTTTAAAAAATGTTCCATTAAGGGACCTCTCTTAATATCTAAAATGAAGATTTCACAGCTTTTCTGAATAATGTGTCTTTCCCAACAATGTTGTGTTTGAAATAAGTAATTGCAGGATTGTACCATAATAGGAAAGACTTTGTAAAGTTCCACATATGAGTACTTGTTTTGCTGAGTGATAATTTTGGAGGAAGTTTTTGCATTATGTTCTGGTGTACATGCCATAATTTGGGAAAAGAAAAACTGTAAGATGAGATATATATGATGGAGCACCATACAGAAGTTAAAAGGAAAAAACTGTGCGTGTGAGTGTCTCCCGTTGTCTAATGGATAAATTTCAAATACATAGGTGTCTAGAGAAGCACATTGCAGAATGATACACACGGACATTTGTGCTAATTTATACCCCTAAAATAACATGATATATATGCTGTTTAGCACATACGTATGCATATAACGACGTAGGAGGGTTTGGGTGGATATAGCGCAAAGACATGATCTTGAGGAAAGGGGAAGATGATGGGACTGGAAAATGACACACAAATATCCTATTTTCATTTGTAATATTCTCATTTATTTAAAGAAAAAACTTGGCAAGATTTGAACAGTTTTTACTTCTTGTTGATGGGTACATGTCTCATTCTATTTTTTTTTTTGTTATATATTTTTAATGTCTCGACACATTATGAATGAGTCCAAGAAAGAAAAAGAATGCCAGCATGGCAGTTTTCTTTCACTGACAGAGAGACAGGCTGTACTGGAGACGGAATGAGTCGGGTCAAGTTGAAACGTTCTCAAGCGAGGCATGATTTTATGGTCAAATACAAGCGGGAACGGAAGCTTTTCATCCGTTTTGTAAATTAGGACTGTGTTTTTGCCAACCTAGCTTTCAGAGAGAATGAAGACTAAGTTGTTGGCAATGGGGAGTAAAGGCAGTTTTCTTTGAACTTTGGGCCAAGAAGGTGCCATCCGGCATGACTACTTTCTCTGTCCTGTGCAGCACGGGGGTCGGCCCCAGGCAGCATCTCTCACCCTGGCCTGTTCCCTGTCCTTGGAGAACAGACACGGGGGTGATGGAGCAGAATCCGCACAGTGGTGGCCCTTTGGTGTATCCGTCTCAGAGGTAGGTTTTGTCGGGACTATACGAATTTTTTAAGTGACTCACATTTTAAAAACAGGGCAGTTTCACAACCACACTGGGCCCCGTTTTTTAAATTGGAGCTGATATGCAATATCATATTGGTTTCAGGTATATAACATAGTGACTTGACAGAGACCTACATTATTAAATGCTCAACCCAGGGAGTGTAGTTGCTGTCTGTCAACACATGAAGGTATTACAGTTTTATTGACTATATTCTCTATGCTGTACTTTGCACCCCTGTGACTAGTTTTTATTATAATTGGAATTTTGTGCCTTTTTGCCCATCCACTCCCCTCACTTATGGCAGCCATCAGTTTCTTCTCTGTGTCGATTTCTGTTTTATTCATTTGTTTTGTTTTTAGATTCCACAAATAAGTGAAATCACATGGTATTTGTCATTCTCTGATTGGCTTACTTCACTGAGCATAATACCCTCTAGCTCTACCCATGTTATAGCAAATGGCAAGATTTCATTCTTTTTATGGCTGAGTAATATTTCATGGTGTGTGTGTGTGTGTATGGTGCGTCCCACATTTTCTTTATTGATGGACACTTAGGTTACTTCCGTATCTTGGCTATTGTAAACAATGTGGCAATCAACATAGGGGTGTAGATACCTCTTTGAATTAGTGATTTTGTTTTCTTTGAGTAAATTCCAAGAAGTGGAATTGTTAGGTCATATGGCAGTTTTAGTTTTAGTTTCTGGAGAAACCTCCATACCACTTTCCACAGTGGCTGGGCTAAGTTACATCCCCACCAACAGTGTATAAGGGCCCCTTTTCCCACCCTCACCAACACCTGTTATTCTTGTCTTTTGGATAGTGGCCATTCTAACTGGTGTGATATCTCATTCTGGCTTTGATTTGCATTTCCTTTATGGTTAGTGATGTGGAGCATCTCTTTATGTGTCTGTTGGCCATCTATATATCTTTGGGAAAATGTTCAGTCTTCTGCCCATTTTTAATTGAATGATTATTTTATGGTGTTGAATTACATGAGCTCTTTATATATTTTGGATATTATCCCCTCATCGGATTTATCATTTGCAAAAATATTCCCCCATACGGTAGGTTGCCTTTTTGTTTTGCTGAGGGTTTCCTTTGCTTTGCAGAAGCTTTTTAGTCTGATGTAATCACACTTCTTTATTTTTGCTTTTGTTTCTCTTGGCCTGGGGAGATATAGTCAGAGAACAACTGCTAACGCTGATGTTCAGGAGCTCACTGCCTATGTTTTCACCTAGGAGTTTTATGGTTTCAGGTCTTATATTTAGGTCTTTAATCCATTCGAAGTTTATTTTGGACCCCCGTTTTTAACGCGACAGCCGCTGACTGCAGCTATGCCAAGCCAGCTCCTTCTGAAGAGCGTGGGCTCCCACTTTGCTGCCGTGTCCACTCTCCAGCTTTGCTGGCGTTCACTGGCCCCTGTAGGAATTTGTACATACTGTCCCTGTGTAGGGTAACTGTGTGACAGGCAGAAGCTAAGACTTTACAGTACACTGTGCCAATCTTTTACAGAAATGCTGGCAAAGCATTATAGGGGAAAGTTCATTTTACTCCCCAGTGTGTCTAATTATAAGGAAACGGTTGGAACATTTAAATGCACCGCGAAAGAACGACTAGAATCTTAGCAGCCGGCAATTGTTTCTCTGGCCTGGGATTAACTGACTCTCCTCATCTTTAATTTCTGTGATTTAAACACTGTCCTTACCTGGGAAGGCTTCAGATTTGTTAACTCCGTGTCGACCTCAGATCTATATGCTCGTTAGCCAATCATGCCCTGAGGGAAATAATCGGGGGACTCTTTTGTCTGACTTTCAATGGAACCATTTTTAATGTAAACTGTGAATAATCATATATACTCAGAAAAGAAACAAATGAACAAAGGGAAGATGTGGTCATGATTCATAGGAAATTTGTTTATTCATTCATTCAGCATATATTGAGTACTATGCTCCAGGCGTTATGCTAGTTTCTAGGATAAAAATGGTAATACCGAGCAGACAATCCATGTCTTCTTGAGCTTAAATGCTGGTGGGAGAAAGGTTTAGGCGTATTTATGTCAGTAACTAATCAGTTGTAGCCTCTCATGGGAAGCTCCGAATGCTAAGGAAGGTTGTAGCTCTGGGAATTTGCTCAGTATGGGATGTCAGGGAAGGTTCCTGAGAAAGAGTGAGGTGGGAGAAGGGGAGCTGGCTGGCTGGATCGGTGCAAGGGGAAGGGCATGCCCGCAGTAAGAACTCAGGTGAGCAGGGCACCGTGTGTTCGGGGAACTGAGGGGGACTGGTGGGTCTGGGGCACCGTGTGGGAGAGAAGAGAAGCGTAGGAGGTGGCCTGAGAGGCACTCTGGGGCCTGCCGTCGTACTTCTTTGTCGCTGGTGTTTTTATGAAGAGACAGTCCCCTGCTTTTCCTTGCCTTTACCGCCAGTTCAGCTGACAAGGGAACGGCCGCTTCTGAAATCACCTTGGAAGTCTAGGGTGCAACGTCTCTAAACGTTTCTGCTCAGTAGGCTGTGCAGCAAACGCTCACTTGAGTTTCCTGTTCTCCATGCCCGGTACAGTAAAGAAGCACACAGAATGCGAAAACAAAAACAATATAGTCTTGGTTTTGGCCAAATAGTTTTCCTTTTTAGATATTTCCTACCACTAAAAGGAATAAAAGCTCACTTAAATAGATGGCTTTGCACAGGTGAGATATTCCAGGTGCCCAAATTGTTTGGAACCCTTGCGACTTGCTCACGGTTGAGGTCCAAGTTCTCTGAATGAGAGCAGCTCAGTATTTAAATTATAAGGCACGTAAGTGTGATTTGGAAACCTAATATATAGCTTAATGAGTTGCACAATAATTTCATTTGAGACATTTCAATTGAAATTTTAGACTAATTCTTCAGGGCAGAGGCTAACCTAGCACCTCCCATTTTACTTCATTTTTTTGTAATAAAAAATAAATCAATCTTGCAATGGTTCAGCACTTCCAATTAACTTTAATGGTCTGTTGCTCTCCACGTCATTGGATGAGAGCCTGTGAATTCAGACACGTAGCTGGGCCTCTTACTAAGTCCTTAACAATCATATGGAGGCTTTATTAGAGGTAAGTTAAAAAGAGCTCCTACTCAATTCGTTTATCCTGAGAGTGTGTCTCTGAAATTAATATCATCAATAAGCCTCATTGGAAGCAACTATATGGCTTTTATAGGCAAAGCAAGTTAATGTTTTTCAAGCAGATGATCAGGAAAGTACAAGCAAGTGACCGTTAGAGAGAAGCCAAGCAGTGGTTTACGGGGTACATGGCTGTTCTTGACAACAACTTTGAAGACTTAGGGATGTGTTTCAGTAGCAACCGATTTCCTGTTACAAATCCATCCTCAGTAATTCAGGCAACTAGTCATCTGCAATCAGGTCACTCAGTAATCTAGGTTACTTCTTGGGGAAAAACATTGTGTCTAAAGTAGCAATTTTGGGGGATTGTCATAAAAAAGGTGTCACCTCCAACACATTCAGGACACCTCTTAGATTCAGTGTCTTTGGAGGAGTGACTGAATTCATTCATAATAACTTTTTATATGCTCTCAATGTTCTGGAGGCTCTTAATTGTAAATTATAAACAAGGCAGTCTCCCAGATTAAGGGATGATTTTAAATATAATTTTAGTCAACAGTAATGCTTGTCTCCGTGCAGCACCCTCAGGGAACCCTTGCTTAGGGGCTGGTTCTGGAAAGCTGCCGGAGAATGACGTCACAGAACAGTACGGATGGTGGTGGTGTCAGGGTGAGTGGGAAGTATGGAGGCATAAAATGGGGCACGGAGGGGCCAGGTGGGCCAGAGGGGTTCAGGGCCAGGAGTGAGTCTACCATAGGGCAGGGGTTTAGAGCCTTAGCTGGACTGATAGTCTGTACCATATAGATCTTTGGTGTTCATGGCAGAGGGGGTGCGGGGTGGGGGTGCTGTTCTGTGTATCGTAGAATGTTTACAAAAATGTCTTGGTACCAAACATGTCCCCCCCACATTGCCAAATATCTCCTGGAGACAAAATTACCCCTGCTTGAGAGCCAGTGCCTCAGAGAAGCCAAGAGAGCAGAGGTGCAGGTGGAGGGAGACGGCAAGTCCGAGTGTGCGTGGCGATTGATGACCGCAAGTTTCTACGCCCTCTGTCTCCAGCCTAGACGGCTTCTCTTATTTCTGGCCCTTGCATTTCCCTGCGAAAAGTTCCCTTTAAATGTTTCAAAGACACTTCAATCTCAACATGTCCAAAAGTGCACTGAAGACCTGCCATTTCCAAAGTCATCTTTTTTTTCTTCATGACCCCTCATCTCAGGGCATGTAGCAAATTAGAACCCAGGATTCATGTCCCACCCCTCATTCTGCCTCGTCTCCCACATACAGCCAACTGGCAAGCTCTGCTTGATGATTTTCCCACCAAATAGCTGTTTCTCACCACCCTGACCACCACCAGTACCCTGCTCCAGGTTAGCATGACCTGTCTCTGCCCGCCCCTCCTGGGGAGGCTGGGAAGGCTGAACGCGTTCTTGCCAGCCTTCCTTGCAGCAGCCTGAGGGTGTTGTAGGGTGGCCATATGATGTGATTCTGACCAGTGACACATTCCTGAGGAGAAGGGATTTCAGAAAGTTCTGAGGAGACATCGTTTTCCCAACAGAAGGTGCAAAGGTACTGGCAGTGTCCCTTGATATTGTTCAGCCATCCTGACTGCAGGATTCATACCCAGAGCTGAAGCAATCATTCTGTGACCACGAGGGAAAGACCACTGGTGTCAATGCAATGGATGTGATTATTTTTGAACCATTAATCCCACGGCCATACCTGCCTATTTCTCATTACACTGTTACACATAAAGCATAGTTCCCTTCTTGGGTACGCCACTGTCTGTGGGTTTTCTGTTCCTTACAGACACTTTCCTAACTGATCCACTAGCTTTGTGATTTTGAACAAGGGGTTTAGGAGCATTCTCCATCCCTTAATTTCCCA